GCCCCGGCGACAGTTGAGGTCCCACGACCGGCGCGGCCACGGCGGGTAAGGCCGTCGCGGCGGAAGCCGCGGCGTCCCGAAGGGCGGCAAGGAAAGGTGATAAAGGGAAGGAGGGGGGAGGAGGAGAGGCCTCTCGTCGCCACAGCTGGATCCCCAGACCCCCTCGCATGGTGGATAAAAACGCGACAGGAGGATTTTCACTACTTTCGGTTTCTGGGGACCGTCAAAAAACTGTTCGGGATGAGAAACTGGTCCCAGGGAAGGGGTCCAGACTTCTGGGGCTCGACGTTGCGAAAAAATCACGACGTCGGGGGTCTGGGAAGGAGAGGTTTCTCGTCGCCACAGCTGGATTCCCGTTAACATGTTGTCTGAGCCGATCGATCTGGACATCGATTCGGACGATCCCCAGCGGTGAACCTGGCAGCCCGGCGACCCCGCCACGCCGTCGGCGCTGCTCCAGCGCGACTGCGGCGTGCTGCTGGCGACAGCTGAGGGGCAAACTGTAGCGGGCGGGGCGAGCGGCTGGCGCGGGCCAGCCCGCCCGCGCCCGCCGCCCGCCACTCCGCCTGTCCGCGCGCAGGTTGCGGGTGCCTCGCCCCCTCTCCAGCCGCGTCGCGCAGCGCGCGCCGCCGCCCCTGGGGCGGGCGGAGCGCCGCCGCGCGCGGCAGTTTCGCCAGTGGCGCCAGGCGCCCGCGGCCCCTCTGGCAGCCGCGCGCCCGACGCCGGCAGCGGCGCCGCCGGGCCCCTCCACCGCCTGCGCTGAGCCTGCAGCGGCCCGTATCGGGCATCCTCGTCCGGCGGCCGCGGCGCACGCCGCTCGCGCCCTTTCTGGCCCGCCCTCTTGTCTCCGCGAGGAGTCGGCGCCGCTGGAGGGAGCTCCCACGGCGGCGGGCTGGCGCGTGGGGGTGGCCGGCGAGACGATCGTCCGCTGGCTGCCCCCGGGTGGGATAACCTGCTCCAAAGCGTCCAGTCGTGGCTTCGCTGGTTCGCGCCAGACGGCCCGACAAGATGGTCGACCCTTCGGAACTACTCCGCCAGGCCTTCGTAGTTAACACCAGTTAGTACCGGCGCATGTTTCAGACGGCGGGCGCGTGCCCTGTAGAGAGTCCTGACTGGCTGCTCCCCGCGAGCGCCGTCGTCCTTGCGGACTGCTTGACAGATGGTGGACGATTCCTCACTGCCCTCGGGCAGGGATCCAGCGGTGGCGTCGGACTGGGGGGGGCAGCGCCACCCAGCGACGCGGGGCCGCCGCAGCTGCGGCCACCCTCGAACCCCTCCGGCACGCGGCCTCGCAGGGCGAGCCTCCCCCCCGTGAGGAGGGGAGACCGCGGGGAACCGCGGGAGCTGCGTCGCGCTGTCGCACGCGCGGCTCGCGCGGCGCGCCCATCGTTGCGGCTGCCTCCGGCCGAGCGCCCGGGAGCCGCGCTGGCGGCGTCGACCATCGCCCGGCGTGGAGGATCGCGCGAGCCGCTCGACTGGATCGGGCTCGAAGGCGGTGGCTCTCTCCCCATCGGAGCTCGAGGCTGCCCCTCGCCGCGTCGCCCGCGGCGCCGACGCCCCCTTCGCCTCGCGCGCGAGGACGCGGCCGTCGAATCGACATCGACATCGACGGCAGGGTCGAGCGTCTCCCGCCGCACTTCGCCTCGCGGCCAAAGCGGGCCACCCGCGTCGCGGGCAACCTTCGAAGCAGAACAGAAACGCCATAAGCAGGAACTTTCGGCGCCCCGCGCGGATTTCTCAGACCCGCGCAGGGGCCCCCCTTGCGGCGCCTCCGGCGCCGCCCCCGGCGCGCTCCGCGCGCCAGGGGGGCGGGGTCCAGCACAGATCAAGGAAATCCGCGCGGAGCGCCAAAAGTTTCTGTTGATGCATTTGTTTTCTTTTTCCAACCTGGCGGCGAGGATGCGCGATGCAGACGCTGCCCCTGGGCTGCTCTGGCGGCGCGCGCGCGGCCTCTGCATTCGCCTGGCGGACGCCGCGCCCGCCGCTGCAGCGGCCGCCCCCCCGCGGCGCCGCGGCGTCGGGCGTCGGGCCGAGCCCGTGGCCGCCGGCCGCCCCCCGCGCCCTGCGCGCCCCCTGCGCGAGACCTTCACCGGCCTCGATCGGCCATCGGAGTCGGTCGATGCCATCGAGCCGCGGCTCGCGGGGCACTCGCGCATCGCACCTGCCACTCGGCACTGTCGCGGGTCCTTGCGCACTCGGTTCTTGCCATCTTCGGCGTTTGGCTTTGCGATGCGGGCCCTCGCATTAATTATGTATAAATGCATCGATCGATCTATATACATATATGTATGTATGTATGTATGTATGTATGTATGTATGTATGTATGCATGCATGTATGTATGTATGTATGTATGCATGCATGCATGCATGCATGTATGCATGTGTGCATGTATGCATGTGTGCATGTATGCATGTATGCATGTATGCATGTATGCATGTATGCATGTATGCATGTATGCATGTATGCATGTATGCATGTATGCATGTATGCATGTATGCATGTATGCATGTATGCATGTATGCATGTATGCATGCATGTATGCATGTATGCATATGCATGTATGCATGCATGCATGCATGCATGCATGTATGCATGTATGCATGTATGCATGTATGCATGTATGCATGTATGCATGTATGCATGTATGCATGCATGCATGTATGCATGTATGCATGTATGCATGCATGCATGCATGCATGCATGTACGTATGTACGTATGCATGTATGTATGTATGCATGCATGTATGTATGTATGCATGTATGTATGTATGTATGTATGTATGTATGGATGCATGTATGTATGTATGTATGCATGCATGCGTGCGTGCGTGCGTGCGTGCGTGCATGCATGTATATGTGTATATATATACATATATATATATTGGGCAAGGTATCCTTGGCTCCTTGTCCGCGCGACCTCGCCGGCGCGCCTTCCTGTCGGTGGCCTGGGGTGTCGCCGAGCGGTGGAAGTTGGCCGGGCCCCGCGCCCGCCGCTGCCCCGCGTGCAACTACGCGCAATAATTGGCCCCTGTCTACTCTGGGACTGGCCATGCACAGCAGCGCTGCTGCTCGTGGGCTTCACGATGCCCCTTCGACCTGGAGAGCTTCGGGTCGTTTGTCGGCATGACCTTTCGCCGCCCAGCGATCGGCTCGCAACCGGCGGCGGCGCCTTTCTCCCCGCGCTTGCGCCGACGACCCGTCGCCCCCATCCGACCCGGCACGCACGCTGCTCGGGCAGTATGCGGCGAGGCTTGCGGAACTGGCGCGTCGCCTTTTGCGCCCCGCCGATCCCCCCGCGCCCTCCAGGCAGAGGGGCGTCCGTGTTCGGCGGCGCCACTCCCGATTTGTTTTCAGCTCCGGGCGCCCCGCTCTCCAGAGCGGCCTCAGGGTTGAACCTTCCTGCCTGCCTGCGCATCGCCTTCTAGGACACTGCTAGGGATCGCTCAGTCGCTTCAAGTCGCTTCCTCCTTTTCGCGTGGCCCATCTGCGCGGTCGGCTCGATTTGCAGCAGCCCACCGGAACCCTGTCACTGCGCAAGGGCTTTGAGCATGGGCATGGCTGTTTGGCCGGCGTCGCGCGGGACTCTGATCTAGTGGACTCCGCCACCGAAGCGGCGCCGGCGTGGCTGCTTGATCTTAGTGGACTCCGCCACCGAAGCGGCGCCGGCATGGCTGCTTGATCTCAGTGGACTCCGCCACCGAAGCGGCGCCGCTGGATCTTGGTGACTCCGACCTGGCTGCTTGATCGCATCTTCGTGGACCCCGCCACCGAAGCGGCGCCGCGCGGGCCCGCCCCATGCCGGGCCCCCCGACGCGCGCGCGCGCGCCGCGGCGCCCGCGCGGAGACAGCTCGCTGGCGCCGGTTCGGGAGAAGGACTTTGACGATTCTCCTCGGCCCCTGCGCCCCATCTGGCTCTGGTTGTGATTCCTGCGCCCCTTTTGATGATTCTCCTCGATCCCTCGGGATAAGGACTCCGATTATTCTCCTCGATCCCTAGCCCCCCCGCCCTCTCCTCCCTGTTTTACCGCGGTTGACTTGCAGCGCCGCTGCTTCGCCGACGTGGGCGACGTGGTGGGCTCCACCGCGTGGGCGGCGCCGCGCGGTCCGCGCGCGTTCGGCGGGCCGGCCCTGTCCTGGACCTCCCGACGCGCGCGCCGCGGCGGCCGCGCGGAAACAGTTCGCTGGCACCGATGCGGGATAATTGTTACCGGCGTCGCCTTTCACAGCATCATCACCAGCATGATCATCATTACCACCCATCACCATCATCAGCCGACTGAGCATCACCACCCGAAACATAATGACACATGCCACCAACATCGACACCACCATCATCGTCGTCATGCTGATCATGGCCATGATCAGCATCATCAGTAACGTCACCATCAACACCCCCACCTTCATCACCAGCATGGTCAGCCACAGTTCTCGCCTCCCCCCTTCTCCTGTCCCCCTCGTCCGTCCTCATTTCATCCACCCACGCTGGCCCTCACCCTTACAGATGTATCCCCCCCTTTTCGTCCCTCTCCTGATCGTCTCGCGTCACCGTGTCCGCGGGGCTCGCCGACGCAGATCTTGCCTCGTGCCCTCCCCCCTGGCTTTTTTCGCCCTCCCCCAGACACCCTGGCGGTTCGATGTTGCTCGAGACAAGGCCAGACTCCCCGACCCTTTCCCAAGAGCGGGCTTTTCGTCCCGAGCCGGCTTCTGTTGATGACATTTGGGGTGCCCCAGAGCTAGCCTCCCGAGGCCCCAGACATGGCGAAATGCTCGGCCCGGCTCGAGGGTTCCTTGAGCGGCCAGACGCCTGGGTCCATGTCTTGGCCTCCTCTGCGCCCCTTGGGGGCCCCGGAAGCCAAGGCGGTGCAAGCGAGGACTCTGCAAGACTCGGCGGGAGAGGGCGAAGAAGATTTGAGAGAGAATGCTTCGGCCCGCGGGCCTGGCTTGCCGGAGTCCCCGTTGACGGGCCCTGCGCGCCACCTCCCCCCTCCCCCGGCGGAGGAAAGCCGACCGCTCGTGGGTGGCCGAATTCGACCCTATGGCGTGAGCCGCGCCGTGCGGCGCTGCAGGCCCCCCTCTGCTGCCGCGGGCCCCTCGAGGCCGGCGCGGGAGGGGGCCGTCGGGTGCCGCGGCCGCCGCCGCTTGCGCCCTTCTGCTCTTGCTGCCGCCCTCCCCGCCGGCGCTTCCTTCCGTATCCCTGACAGCCTCGCGGGCCCCTCGAGGCCGGCGCGGGAGGGAGCCGTCGGGTGCCGCGGCCGCCGCCGCCAGCGCCCTCTTGCTGCCGCCGTCCCCGCCTGCGCTTCTTCCCGTACGGTGGGGGCGCGCATCAAGAAGCCATGTGCTCTTCGCAAGGGTACCCTGGGTTTCTTCGCTCCTCGCGCTGCGCGGCGACTTCCCGCAGCCGTCGAGGGAGCTCCTGCGTTCAGGGGGCTACGGGTCTCCCCCTCAGGGGCACCCCGCGCGCGGGTTCTCAGGGTTGGGTTTCTGGCGAGGGCTTCGGCGGCCGCGCTCGCACTGTACCCCTGACAGCCTCGCGCCGTGACAGAGAGCGGGGGCCCAGACCCCTGAGAAGCCACGTCGTGAACGAAGCATGACGCCGGATGCCTGGGATCACCCTTCCCCCCCCTCTGTGCTCTTGCCGTTCCTCCTTCCCCCCCTCTGCTCCCCCATGTCCGCCACTCCTCCCTGCTGCCGTCCCCTCCTCCCCCTCCCCTCCCGCCCGCCCCTTTGCCAGGGGGCCTGGGCACACTTGCTGTGGCCAGCCGTGGCGAGATCTCGACACAGTCGAGCTTGACTACAGTCGGGGCGCTGGAGAAGGAACTCCTTTCGTTAGGGAGGGGCTCCTTGCTCCTGAATTGTTTGACAGTTTGCCCTACGTTTTCCTTAGCTTTCCGATGGGAAATCGAAGTTCAACTTCTGGACAAAAGGGGCCTCGCTCCTTACTTAGGGTTCCTTTGGTCAGCGCCCCGACTGCAGCTGGGCGACCCTTCCGAGTCACGGGTGCCCCTTCAGTGCCCCTGCAGCTGGGCGACCCTTCAGTCCCCTGCCTGGTGACCCACGTCCTCTCCACCTGCCAGCACGCACCTCCAGCGCTCGGCCCGCCGGCCTTCTGCACATGGGCATCCCGCGCGTGGCCTCCACGCGTGCAGCATCTGCGAGTCCAAGCGCGCGTGCGCGCGCCCAGCTCCGGGCTCCGGGATCCGAGGCTCCGAAGATGGAGCGGTTGTCTACTCTCGGCTTCCAGGGGCCCTCAGCGGGCCCCGGGACCTCCGAACGACGACTCGGAGCGAAAAGCCAGCCCCCAGGGAAGTGGCCCAGACCTCCGGGGGCCTACGCATCGACAGACTTGGGGCGCCAGATGTCTGGGCGGACCCCTCTCGGACCGCGCGTAGGAGTGACCCTTTTGCCGGCGTGGCCCCTTGGTGCGGACCCACAGCCGCCCAGCACCTGCATGCGCGCCTGGGCTAGCCCCCCAGCGGTCCTGCCTCCCAGGCATCTGGCTTCGCGCTCGTGTTCGCAACGTGACTCCTCAGAGGTCTGGGTTTCGGGGGTGGACAGACCTCCTGCCCTGACACGTCGATTAAGGAATTGGCCGTTTTCGGTTCGCGAGAGGGCGTCGCGGCCGTCATTTTTGCGGGTCCGGGTCCGTCGGTTTCGGTCCCAGGCCGTTTTCACTAAGGGGGGGTTTACTAAAGGGAGGTTTGTCCACTGCCGGGGGTTTCTTCCCAGGGACCGGGTTTTAATCCCATCAGTCCTGTCGCGATGGTCCCGGGGGCCGGCAAGGGCCACCAGAGGCCGAGCATTCCCGAATATAGCTCATGGGAGAGCTGAGAGGGCTTCGGAGAAGAAGCCGGCAGGCAGGGCTACGCCAGCTCCTCTCCAAGGCTCCCCGGCAGGCATCCCCGCAGCAATTTGCTTGAACCTGCAGCGGGCCCGAGAAGCGGTGTCCTACAGTACTCGTTCCCAATGCGCGTATCGGAGGCCTTTCCGCAGGTCCTTCGCAGCTCCTTCGAAGATTCTTCGAAGCTTGTTTTTCGAAGCTTGCAAGCTCCCCAGGCATGGGTTTCAGCCTCCTGGCAAGCGTCCTCCACAAAGGTTCCCAGATAGCTCTCTAAGAGATAACAGGGCTTCAGCTTACGAAGCCGGAGCCGCAGGGTAGCCCCGGAGCTCGTTCCGGCTTCCGGCAGGATGCCTCGGCGCGAGTTGGTTGAGCTCGCAGCGAGTCCCGAGAGGCCTTTCCTGAGCGTTTTCCAATACGTCTGCCCAGAAGCTCTCCAGGTCCTTCGGAAGCTCTCTCCAGGAGCTTCAGGCCTTTGCACGTCGTTCTGGCGCCCTGCTATCCGAGTTTTGGACCCCAAAAGTTACCAAAGACAAATCCCATCGTGTCTGTGTGCCACGACGCGAGGATGCCAAGGCTTGAATCCGCACGCTAGGGCCTTAGGGGCCACCTTTGTCCGGGCCACTCGTTGCGTGCGGCCCCAGAGATCCGACGTCGTGACTTTTTCAATGCGGGGTCCCAGGAAGTCTCGACCCACTCCCGAGGGCCGGCTCTTCATCCCGAGTCGTGTTTGGGGGGTCCTGGGGCCCGGCGAGGGCCTCTGGAAGCTGAAAGCTGCGAAGCACCTCCGTCCTGAGTTTTCCGGTGCGTTGGATCCCTGGGGGCCCGACGCCCCGCCCGGGCTCGCCGAGAGGGTGCCCGCCACTGACGCGGTGGCGCGGGCGCCCGCCTGCCGCGCGGCAGCGCCCCGCCGCGGGGCCCCGCCGGCGGACGCGGCGTCGTGAGGGAGCCGGCCACGCGTGCGGAGGGGCCCTTCTCCGCCAGAGGTCAAGTCGGGCCTGTCCCCCTACAGGGGGACTATTCAAACATAAACAGAAAATAGTGTGGGGACGATTTTTGGGGGGATTTTTGTTCGCCATGTTTTGAATATGTTTGGGACTCTTTTTTGAAATTGGTTCCGCGGGAATCCCCCCTGTATGGGGGGCAGGCCCACTTGACGCCAGAGGGGCCCTCTGGTGCGCGGCAGCCGAGGGGGGCGCGCGGACCCTGGCCCTCCAGAGGGCGGAGGCGTGGCCCTCCACGTGGGCCCGTGGGCCCCGAGCTCGACGGCCGACGGCCTCGACCCGGAGTTCGGAGGTCGGGGTCCTGGCGCTGCTCTCCTTGGCCCCCCCCTTGATCTGGGCGTAAGTCGGGCCCGTCCCTCTACAGGAGGAGCATTCAAAAATAGTCCCACAACAGTCTGGGGACTGTTGTTTGTTTTTTGTATATTTTGACGATTTGGGCGCATTTTTAGAGTATTTTGATGTTTCGTCGAAAATCCCCCCTGTAATTAGGGGGACACGCCCGACTTAAGTCGAGGCCTCCCAGGTGGGGTCCGAGCAGCTGGTGTCGGAGGATCGCGCCGCATCGCCGATGCATCGCCGATGCGGCGCGGTGCGGAGCCCGACTTGCTTCACGTCGACGTCGCCGATGCATCGCCGACGTCGACGATGTATCGCCATCGCCGATGCACTGTCGATGCATCGGCGATGCGGCGCGATCCTCCGACCCCATCTATCAGGGGAGGAAAAACGACCCGGACCGGACAGTTGGCGTTTACTAAACGCCCCTGGACGTTTACTAAACAGCCCTGCCCTGTTTGATTCGTTCTGTGGGAGCGTTTACGGATCGGCTTCGCGTGTCGGGGTTGTTATTATCGGGGTGGAGTTTCTGCCCTCCAGTCTGCTCCGACCCAATCTAGGAGGCCTCTACTTGGAAGGTCAGGGGAGGAGGGGGCTGCCAGAAGCCCAGTCGCGCAGGTTGTGGCCTGCCGCGTGCGGCGGTCGGCTGGTCGCGCACCAGAGGGCCGCTCTTGCCCTGGGGACGCTCTGGCGTGCGGCCAGGGGGCGTTGGGAGGGCGGCAGGGGGAGCGGCGAGGAGGGGGGGGGAAGAGGAAGTAGAGGAGGAGGAGGAGGAGGTGGAGGAGGAGGAGGAGGAGGAACGACGCTACGAGCTCCGCTCAAAGAGAAGGAGGAGGAGGAGGAGGAGGAGGAGGAGGAGGAGGAGGAGGAGGAGGAGCAATGGGAGGAGGAGTAACGGCGCCTAACGAAGAAGGAGGAGGAGGAGGACCAGTGTAAACCCGAGACCCATCATCGATATTGCAATAAACCCTCTCTCTAAGTTCCCTTTCCACAGGCCCCTACAAGAGTTAATTTGCACTGAGGGAAGTGCCCCTCTGGAAGACAACCCTTTTGGAAATTCTGAACTGTGGCAGAACATCGTTCCTGGGACATGAACGGGGCGAATTACCTTCACTGTCGCGTCTTGACGATCCTGAATCGTGCCACAATGCTCTTCCTGGGATTTCAATGCCACGAATGAGGGTAACTCTCGCGCCCTGACAGTCCGAAATCGCGCCAAAACACCGCGTTTGGCACGTTAACCTTGAGAACCTTTGGTATTGGTGTAAGCTCTGAAAACGAAAGTGCGCGGCGCGAAGGCGAGAGCCACATCTTGAAAAGGGGCCGCCCCCCATCTGTGGCGCGTCTGGGCGGTCCTATCCAGAACAGAATAAGACCTCGCCATCCCTGGGGGCTTCGAACTTGGACACTGTCGCCAGTGGGCTCCTTGGGGGTCCAACGGACTTGTGTCTTACGTGGATAAGAATGAAGCCTCTCCGTCCTGGGGGGGGGGGGGGGGGGGCGAACTGCGAACCCATCATCACTTTCATCGGCCCCTGGGAGTTCAGCGGAAGGACGTCATACGCGGACCTAAAGGATACCTCGCCGTCCGTCGGGGCTGCCAACTGCGAACCTGTCGCCACGTTCGTGGGCCCCTGGGTGGTCCAGCAGAAGGATACCTTTGCTCCCCCCCTGCCCTCTCGCCATGCCATGTCCCAGAGGACCGCCTCACTCAAGCCGGCCCCGTGAGTCGCGCAACGACATCACAACACGCCGCGTCCTTGACCATGCCGTCATCAGTGGTCGAACTCGTCCATTGCTATGGGCACACGTCGCCAGGGTAACCTTGCGGGCGTAGGATCATACGCGCCGCGAGCCCTTCCCATGTTGCAAGCCATCCTGCTTGCTGTCCCGGCCGCGTGTCCGATGGAGTGCGGGACACGTTGCACCGAGCCGCCAATTGTCAGGAATAGAAATAACGCACAGACGCAATTAATCGTCGACTCCCAGGAGAATATGGGTAAATATGGGAAGAGGGGGGGAGACAAAAACCCAGAAAATATAGGAAAATATGGGGAACCCTGTTATTTGTATGTGTATTTATTTTTGTGTCCCAGGGCCCCTTCAAATTGGTGCTGCCCGTCCCCCTCGTCTCGGTCCCCCCGCGCTTGCCTCCTTCTCCCCCATGCCTCCCTCCTCCTGCCCGTGGGAGCGCCAGATGTCCTTATGCAGCCCCTGTGGCCCGCCGGGGTCCCGCCCGCGAGGGCCCGCGCGGGCCCGCAGGGCGTGCACATAAGATTGTCTCTGGTTATGGCGTGGGCTGGTTTCCGACTTCCAGAATTGGTGCTTGAATTCGAAAGCCAGCTTGTTGAATTCAAAACCAATTTTTTGGAATTCAGAAACCAGTTTTGTGAATTCAAGAACCAGTTCTTAGCTGATTTGGGGGGTGCCGCCCAACACAGTCGCCCAAGGACTCTGGTGACGGTCTCGGTCGCGAGGGCTTGGGCCTCGCAGCGGTGGCAGAAGCAATGCCGATCAAAGGGCGCGACCCTCCCACTGCGAGGTGAGATGCGAGTGCAACCAGCCAGAAGGTGTGGTGGAAAAGAGGAGCCATATTCCTAGCCCGCGAACGCTGGCTTAATGCTCAGGACGTGAGTTCCTCCAGTACTTGACATCTCCTTATGTGCTCATACCCGAAAATGATCATGATGTGACTTGAGTGCCCCCGTCGGTCGCACGACGACGAAAACTGCCCTCTCGGAATGCTCGGCCTGAGTCTGGATGTTCCACGCTACGTGTGCATATGAGATCCGCATTCAACTGTTTGGAACGAGGGGAGTGGCGAGGTGGGAGAGGATAATGAAAGGGACAGCAGACAGGAGGAGGAGGAGGAGGAGGAAGAAGAGGTTGAGCAGGCGCTAGAGGAGCTGGATGAGCAGGCGACCATACGTGGCACCTTTCGCAGGCTGGGGACTCAGCGCCCCGTCGAGGGCAACGTGCAGCCTCCAGCGCAAGAGCCGCAAAGGCGAAGAGGTATGCTGTCATCAGCACTTGTAAGCAAGGCTGGGCGAAGAATCAGCCGCATCGTGCCCTCGCCGCAGTCGCCCTGGCACGCTGTCTACGCGAGCGCCGAGCGGATGTGGGCATCGAGCGTACTGCACCCGAGTTGGAGTCACGCCGATGGGTATTGTGGAGTAGGCTACGATTGACCTTTCGTGACCTTTGCTTGGTCGGTCCAGCCGCTCAAGTCGATGTATCCCTCCGCTATCCGTATGCCCAGCGGTATTGTCAGACTGCGGCTTGCCCAGGTGGAGCCGCGGACGCTGCCATCGCAGACAAGCGTGCGCACATCGCCACGAATGCCACGGTGTGCCTCCGCGACCATTGTGCTGCTCCCACGCTCGCCTTCGGTTGCTGGCCAGCTTGAGACACGCAGCCAATATTAGTTTTCCTTGGCCAACTCTGACTTACTGGCGCTGGGCTGCCCACCTAGCCGATACGTGGGTCATGTATGGCAGCGTCGCGGGCATGTTATAGAGTCTGATAACTGCCCCAAGCGGATGCGAGTATGCTCTTGCTTGATCTTCCGAGCACGATTAAAAAGACCACCACCGACACTAAGAAAGGGACGACATCGAAATCCGTTTGGGCACATTTTGGTTTTTGTGGGACCCCGCCGTTGCACCCCCGCCGCCAACGACGACCTGGACCCACCCCTCGCCCCTGGGGACTGGAACGGGAATCAACAAAACAAACGCGGTGTTGGTGTACATACATTCACATACCACTACCACCCGGCGCCGCGCTGCGCTACTGTACGCTGCGGAGGCGTGGCGTCGTCTCTCACGGCCGCAACTCCGATGATCGTAGCTGCTGTTTTTTTCCCCGGACGTTGTGAAGATTGGCCTCGCAAGTCTGGCCCCGGCAGGAGCAGGAGCCGCGGGAGGAACGGAGCACCGGGAGGAGCACGAGGAGGAGGACGGAGACGACGAAGCGCGGTGGGTCGAGCCCGTCGCACACGGGGGCGGGGGCCGCTGCGGAGGAGGGGAGCGCGCCCGCCCCGTCCGACGACGTAGTCTACCGCCCGCGGCGCGCAGGGCGGGGGCGGGAGCGATTTCGTCTTCGTGGCTGGCGGGCGAGAGGGGTGCCATGGGGCAGCCGAAGAAGCAAGAAACACACAAACATAAACTGTGGGCGCTCCGCGCGGATTTCCTGGATCTGCGCCTGGGCCCCCCAGCGGCGCCTCTGGCGCCGCCCCTGGCGGGGGGGCCCAGGCGCGGATCCAAGAAACCCGCGCGGAGCGCCAAAAGTTTATGTTCGTATGGTTTTTTTTCTTCTAGACAGGGTGCGCAGCCCTCTACCCCAGAATTCGGCGGTTCGGCCTTTCGAGCCGCTGGCCCCAAGACCTCCCGGGCCCCTCCCGCCTGGGGTAGTTTTTCATCCTGGCTTGCCTTGCGACGGCCCCGGGGGCTCCCTGGGAGCCCGAAAAGTGCGGGAAGCGTCTGGCACGATTGCCTCGAAAATCACTCGTGGGTGAGAAGGCGCTGGGGGTCGTATGTTTCTGGCGATCCTACCTGCCAATGCCCTCCCTAAAAGGCGGCTGGCATTCTCAGAAAGAGAGAGAGAGAGAGAGAAACAAAAAAAGATAAAAAGATAAAAGAGAGAGAGAGAGAGAGAATGAGAATGAGAATGAGAGAATGAGAGGAGGGAGGGAGGGAGTGAAAGAGAGAGCACCCCCTGACCCTGCCCCCCTTTCGCTCGCCGCCAGTCGCTTGCGAGGCAGGGGCTGGAGCGCGGCGGCAAAACGAGCTCGGCGGCGCCGCCCCCCTGGGGGGCGCCAAGACGCGCACACCGGCACCGGCCCCAGCCGGGCCCGTCCTTGCCCCAGGGGCGATGCACACGCCGTCGGGGCGTTCTCGGCCGGAACGGCGTAAGCACCGATCCTGTGTTGAGGACTGGCCTTGCCGCCATCGGTGCCCTCGTGCACGTCGCTTCCTGCTGCCCTTTGGCTTGGCAGTGGCCGCACAAGCTGGTGTACTTTGCGCGGCCTGACCTGGCCGATGTGGCTTCTCATGTCCTCCGATTGCCTTGCCGTGCCTCTCTCTCTCTCATGTGTGTGCGTGCTGCTTATCCACACCCTTGGAGGTTGCCTCTGTCCAAGCTTGGGATGTTGTGCTGTTAAAGTCGTAACATGAGTTTGCTTTTTGGGGCAGCCTCCCTCGAGTAGTGCGGCAAATCCGCCCCCCTGCATGTTTGATGGGCGCTTTGCTGCGCCCCGCCCTTCCGAGCCCCGCACACGGCCAGCACATGCAACGGCACCTTGATCAGTGGACGCATGCATAACGTGCGGCCTTCGGCCCGTCTTGCCACGATGCCCGGATTCTGGATCAGAGCCTTCTTACAGTCGTTTGGAAGGCCCCTTGGAAGCCTTTGGGGGGCTTTTTTGGGGCGGCCTCGGCCCAGGAGGACCCCCCCCCCAAAACGGCAACTGGATACTTCCAAGACGGCCCAGGGCCCCCCCCCCCCCCGCAACGACCGCGTAACGGCCCACGGGGATCCCCAAGACGGCCCTTCCAGGACGGCCCAAAGACGGCAGCCAGAGGTGGCCAGGAAGTTTCCCAATGCTGCCCGCGAGAAGCTCAAGCCGTCTAACTGGAGCGAGTCAAGACAGCCTCGCGAAAGTGCCGCAGCGATGAAGATCATCCCGACAGGATACCGAGATGGCCTGCATTGCCACAGAGATGTTGTTTAACATGTCTTTCGATTTCTTCACCTTCGCGAGGGCACCGCGACGGCCCAAGAGGGGCCCACCACTGCCCAAGGCATCCCCCGGATTGCCTGCGAGGGAGGGCCGACGGGGCCGTACCGTGGCCCATGCCGGCCCCAAGAGGCCGCAGTAAAGGCCCCAAGGGGACCCAAAGAGTGCCACAAGGAACCTCAAGAGAGCACCCAGGGAGCCCCAGAGAGCCCCATGAGATCTCACCACGGGCGATGAGGAGACGGATGAGGATTATGATTATGATTATGATGCTGCTGCTGCTGCTGCTGCTGCTGATGATGATGATGATGATGATGATGATGATGATGATGATGATGATGATGATGATGATGATGATGATGATGATGATGATGATGATGATGGCGATGATGGTGATGATGAGGAGGAGGAGGAGGAGGAGGGGGAGGAGGAGGAGGAGGAGGAGATGGAGGAGGTGGAGGAAGTGACAAGGACCAGGAGGACGAGGAGGAGGAGAGAGAGGACGAGGAGGACGAGGAGGAGAAGGAGGAGGGCAAGGTTCGGGGGGCCCAGAATCGCCATACCAACCCCCATAACCGCCGGCCCGTACTGTGCCATCGCAGGCGTCTGCCTGCGCTCTTGGGGGGCTTCTGGAGGCTTCTTGGGGCCTTTTGGGCGCCTCTTGGGGCCGAGGGCTCGAAATGTCCGTTCGGGTTCCCCGGCTGGCCCCCTCTTGGGGCCGTCCTGGGGATATCTTGGGCCGTCTTAGAGGCCTCCTGGGCCGTGTTGGGGCCCTCGTGGGCCCTCTTGAGGCTCTCTTGGGGCTCTCTTGGAGGCCTCTTGGGGCGATACGTGGGGCGATATGTGAGCATCGGGAAGCTGAACAGATGAGAACGCCAACATCCTTAAAAAACCTAAGGGACAGCGATGATTGTTGCCTACTGGGGCCCTCTTGAGACGCTCCTTCGAGGCCTGTTTGGGCGTCTTGGGGGCGTCTGCGGCCGTCTGGAGGCTATCTTGGGCGTCTTGGACCGATCGGTCGGCGACTCGGATCTCTCTTGGACTGTCTTGGGAGCTCTTGGGGCCCTCTAGGAGTGCTCTGGCGCGCCTGAAAGCCGCGCCCAGAAGGAAAATCCATCTCTGGGTCGGACCGGCCGGGGTACTCTGCGTCAAGTGACCCCCAGGAGCCGCTCCGCGCAAGCGAATTAGACATACTGTTAACCAGTAGCCGGAGATCTTAGCACGGCTCTGGCCCGTTGGGCTGGCGAATTCAGTTTGGGGGCGTTTGTAGTATTCACAGTTTTCGTGCGATGATGACTACAAGAGGGCCTCGGCGAAGCTGGTGAGCGTCTGCAGGGGCCTCAAGAGTCAAGCAGTGGCGAAGCGTCCTGGCTCGCCTATAGCCCTACCAAACAATGTTTTCAGAACCTTTTGTGGTTGCCACGAAATGTTCTTAGAACATTTCTGGCTGGGACTGTCTTGTTTTAGCACATCGGGTTTATGTTCCAAGAGCATTGTTTTTGTTATTGGAACATTTTGGGGTTCTAAGAACATTTGGTGGTATGACTATAGGAATGCCGGGACTGTCGGTCCCTGCTCAAAAGAGAGTTCCCAGGTCACCTGGGATTGCCCCACTGGGTGAGGAGCCCGCGACGGCCCGCAGAAGGCCACGAGGATGGCCCAGCAGCGCCCCGAGAGGTCGCAAGAGATTGCAAGACGGTGTGCGAGAGCCCCGAATGGTCCCAGATGGCTTTACGATGCCCCACGAGGCCGCCTGAGGGCCCCACGTGTGGCCACGTGGTAGGTCCAAGAGGGCCCCGTGCCGACGAGGCTGCCAAGAAGCGCCGAGGGAACCCCAGGAGGCCCCGAGAGTTCCCGAAGAGACCCCCAACGTTCTCTTCCTCCTCCTCCTGCGCCTCCTCCTCCTCCTCGTCCTCGTCCTCCTCCTCGTCCTCCTCGTCGTCCTCCTCCTCGCTCCCCTTGTTGCTTTCTCTCGCTCTTCTCATCTTTGATCGTCGTTCTTCCCTTTATCCGTCCTCCCCTTGCTGGCCAGTGTCGCTCCTCGCCCTCTTCATCCTCGTCGTCTCCCTCCACTGCCTCACTGTTTTTTCGTATACCGCCTCCCCATCCCGCAGCAGAAGCAAGGGTGTAGAGGAAGAAAGGGAGGCCAAGCTTGCGGCGGCGACGAGGGGGCAGTACCACTATGAGGGATGGGACGGTGATGAGGAGGTGAAGACAAGCACCACAGAAGGAGGAGGGGTGGGATAGACAACGCGTGTGACATGCGTACGCCTACGCACTTGAAAAAAAGACCTTACTGCGAGGAACATACGCGGGGGAGGCGCGACATGTTGTTCCCAGGCACGAGGCTTGCAGTGTAAGCGAATGGCTAGGCACACTGTCGGCACCGAGAACGTGACCGCGCGGACAGCTCGCGCGATGATCCTTCCCTTACTCTGCGGACATGGGCCCCCACACGGGTGACCCCCCCATGAATTCAGGCCCTCTTGACGTCTCGGACGCCCTTGCAGAACGTCTCCCCGAGTTTCTGGGCCTCTTTGGCCGTCTAGGCGGGCTTCGAAATCAGGCCAAGCGGTCCGAAGGGGTGACCTGACGGCCTCACGGGAGTCCCAGGTTGCCTAAACAATCCCCCGAGACCACACACCGACCCAAAGAAGACTTCCAAGAGGCCCCCAAAATGCGAAAGGTTGAGATGTCCTAGAAGTTCTCGTGTGATTTGGGGGCATTCGTTTCTGCGGTCTTCGGGGCGTCCATGACCGCCGAAGAGGCTCGCAGACCCCAGACGGGCCAAACGTGTCCCAAGACGGCCAAAGAGAGCCCAAAGATGCCAAGACGGCCCACCAGGGCCCTAAGACGTCCCCAGGAAAGCCTCAAGGCGACCCAAGATGACCCCGAGACACCCCCCAAAGCACTCCACGTCGGGACCTGGCCGTTGACGGAAATCGCCGTTGATGGCAAGATGGCCCTAAGAAGCCCCCAGAGGTTCCCGAAAGGCCTCCAGAGTCCCCCGAGAAGGGCCCAAGAAGCTTTCGAGAGGCCCTCTAGACGGGCCATTATTATTCCCATCAGTGAGAAGGAGGACGAGAAAGGTTCACAGTACAGGGCGAGAACGATGAAGAGGAACAAGCAATAGGAAGCATTGGATAGCAAGGGAACGGAAAGTAACGTCGAGAGCGGAAACGGCGACATCAATCTACGATTACGCTGTCCCTCTCTCATTCTCGCTCCCTCTCTATGTCTGTCTCGTGTTCTTTCTCTTTCTATCCTTCTCCGTTGTGTTCGCTCTGTCTTTCTCTCTCTCTCTCTCTCTCCTACTTTCTCTCTCTCTCTCTCTCTCTCTCTCCCTCTATAATGTGGAATTTTCTGTGTATATATATATCATCGCATGTGCGCGAAATTTGCAGGACCACAGTGCAGGGCGCGAAGCGTCAATGCCGTGATGTGTACACGTAAATACGTATCAATTGGATGTATGTCAGTTTTGTTTAGCCTTGCTTCGCCCAGTTCAGGTGACACTGACATATGTGCAGCATCGGTTTCATTCGTGACTACGTTTGTGTCGTCATAATTAGCTACTGATTCCCTGGCCAAGAGGAGGAAAGGATAGAGGAAGGGAAGGGGAGGGGAGGAGACCAGAGGAGAGGATAGGAACACGTGGGGAGCGAACACGAGGGATGAATATATGAAGGAAGGAAGAGGGGAGACGGAAGGAGGAGGAAGATGAGGAGGAGGAGGGCCAGTGTAAGCCTAAGACACATCAGCGATGTTGGAATGAACCCTCCCTCCAAGTTCTTTTTTTATAGGCACCTATAAGAATTCACTTCCTCTGAGGAAAGTGCCTCGTCAGGAGACGACCGTTCGAGGATCCTGAAGCGTGCCAAATCACCATGCCCGGGACTCGAACGCCACGAATCAATTTGATCGTTGCGTCTTGGCGATCCCGAATCGTGCCAGAACACCGTTTGTGGCATTTCAACGCCGTGAACGAGCGTAACGCGTGCCCCTTGGCAATTCTGAATCGGGAAGCCGGAAAATTTTGAAAAATGTTTTAATCTTGCGCGCTGCGCTCAGGCGAGGGCCACCTTTTGAAAATGAATCGCCCTCAGTCCGTGAAACTCTTGGAAATATCCAGAACGAATGTGCGCGGCGCTTTGGCGAGAGCCACATGTTGAAAACGGCCCGCCCTCAATCCGTGAAGAATTTGCACATGTTTAAAGGACGAGTGCGCGCGGCGCTTATGCGAGAGCCACATTTTGGAAGCGGGCCGCCCATCCGTGAAACTGGTGCCCACTTCTCAGCTTCAAGATGATACATGGTAAAAAAGTCTCAGGCGAAACGCCCGGCCAGACCTTCGGACTGGCCTTGGGGTGCGACAGGGAGGAGAGGGAGAGGCTCCCTCAGACCCCATCTGGGGTGGCTGTTTATCCAGGGTCATCTGCGAGCGTCCATCTGCCCAGTGCGGCCAGGGAGCCCGCGCGGTGCCTGCTTCTCCCCATCACTCCCTCCTCGGCGTAGACCACGATCCTCCGTTCCATTACCCAATGCTCCTGTTTCCACTCCTCCTCTCCCTCTTCTTCTTCTTCTCCTCCTCCTCCTCCTCCTCCTCCTCCTCCTCCTCCTCCTCCCTCCTCCTCCTCCTCCTCCTCCTCCTCCTCCTCCTCCTCTCCTCCTCCTCCTCCCTCTTCAGCCCCCTCCTCAAACCCCATCAGCTCCTCCTCCTCCGCGGTCTTCCCCTTCTCCTCCTCCTCCTCCTCCTCCTCCTCCTCCCTCCTCCTCCTCCTCCTCCTCCTCCTCCTCCTCCTCCTCCTCCTCCTCCTCCTCCTCCTCCTCCTCCTCCTCCTCCTCTCCCCAAGCCTGCTCTCTCCTCCATCCTCCCCCATGCTCTCCCCCCTCCTCGGCGTAGACCACGACCCCCCCTCGGCATGGTGCACTGCTCGCGTCTGGCCTCAGCGCTCGCTCCGCGCACACGTTTGTGCTCCAGGCCGGCAGACACGCGCCTGCGCGAGCGAGCAGGCTGGGCCAGCGATTGGGGCCAGAGCTTGCCCCTCGCGCGCGGCCCCGGCCTTGTCGCCTCTCCGCCAGCGCCCCGGCCCGCAGCCCGCCGCGACCGCCCCGGGGCCGCCCGAGGCGGTGGGGCACCGCTCGGAGGTGTTTCCAGGCCCATCGTCCGAGGAGGAGGACGGAGGAGGAGGAGGAGGAGGAGGAGGAGGAGGAGGAGGAGGAGGAGGAGGAGGACGAGGAGGAGGAGGAGGAGGAGGAGGACGAGGAGGAGGAGGAGGACGAGGAGGAGGAGGAGGACGAGGAGGAGGAGGAGGAGCGTGAGGACGAGAGCGACGAAGAGGAGGAGGGCGAGGAGGGAGGCCAGGCCCATTGTCCGAGGAGGAGGAGGAGGACGAGGACGAGGAGGAGGAGGAGGAGGAGCGCGAGGACGAGCGCGACGAAGAGGAGGAGGAGGGCGAGGAGGGAGACGCACCTGTCGCGTCCCCGCAGCGGGCGCCGTGTGCTCCGCGTGCCCGACGCTGGCATCTCGCGGGGCTGACCCGAAGAAGAAGAAGAAGAAGAGGAGGAGGAGGAGGAGGAGGAGGAGGAGGAGGGCGGGGAGGTGGGCGAGGAGGGCGGGTAGGAGGAAAGGAGGAGGGCGAGGAGGGCGGGGAGGGCAAGGAGGGCTGTGAGTTCGGGGAGGGCAGGCGCAGGGTCAGGACATGTCGCCCCAGAGCGTGTCGCAACGTCCCCAGGGCTTCTCGGAACGCCCTGGGACGGCCGCGGCGCCCGAGACTGCATGCTCCAGACCCTGCGGCTCTCGAAGATTCCGCATCTGCCTTCGTCAGCTCGTTTCGCTCAGCCTTGCGCGCGTACCCTTGACCAGGCAGTTGTGCGCCACGCGGATGCCTACCCTTCCCAGTGCAGGGCGATTTGCCTCGTTCCGCCTAGCGCGAGTGGCCGGCCGACCAGACAACATGGGCATTGCAGGCGTAGCTGTTGGCCGTCCAGGCAACCAGGTCGGCAAGGATACGGCTTCGAAGATGGGCAGCGATTGCTACATGATGGGGACTAGAATCTCCAGTCGTAAGTGAGAACAGCCACTGTAGAGGTGCAATGTATGTTCCAGATCACGATCAATTTTACGTTCTCTGACGAGGGCTACAGCACGAGATTTGATATCTGTAGTGCCAGACTGTATTGCCCAGCTTGTAAGCACTACGAACTCACGATGCGCTTAATCATTTCAGTCAGGTCAACGCGGCGCTCATCACTATGCTTCCCTCTCCTCTCTTCCTGGAGCTCCGCCCCCCTCCTCCTTTATCCTGCCTCCTCCTCCTTCTCCTCCTCCTCCTCCTCCTCCTCTTCCTCCTCCATCTCCTCCTCCTCTTCCTCCTCCTCCTCCTCCTCCTCCTCCTCCTCCTCCTCCTCCTCCCCCTCCCCTCCTTGCTTTCAGCACCAGGTCGCACCTCGCAGCAGTCGTGGTGCTGAGATCTGGCAGCAAGCCGCAGTTCCCAACAACGAAACACGGCTGCGAGGGAAGCACAGTCAGTTGGTCGGTTTTGACGAATTGTTTTGGGGTACCCTCTTGCCGCAATGAGCAGCATGTTGCCCTTCATTCGCTGGTCATGCCCATCTGTTCCACTTCTGGGTAATGATGCGCTTCGCTTCGCAATACGCGCACACCGTTTGGAAACCGACCAAAGAAGTGTGCGCCAATTGCATGCCTGCTCGCTCCAGCTCAGGGCAGTACTTCGTTTTGTTCCGCCTTTTGCACACACGAGCGTGCGCCAAGCGGATGCGTATCCTTCACAGTTCACAGCAGTAGTTCGTGTCGTTTGCGCGCGCGCACCCTTGAGCGACCGAACTGGCAGGTGTGCGCTAAGCGGATGCGTACCCTCCCTTGTCCAGGGTAGTACTTCGTTTCGCTCCGCCCTGCGCGCGCACCCCTGGGCTAACAACCAGACATGTGCAGGCATGACCCTTCTCAGTCTTGGGCAGTTGTTCGTTCCGCTATCTGTGCGCGCGCTATTGGGGGGCCGCCCTTGAAAATTGGCCTGGCAGAGGACCCGACCATCTGCAGTTGTGAGTACCGCAGCTGTGAGAGTCGGTATCGGTGGAGCCCCCCTCTGGGCCACGAAACGTGTGGGGTGTGTGCCGAATCGGGTACGGGTACGCTGTCCCGCTGAGACCTTCAGTGAAGCTCCCTATGGGGCCACGAAGCGCGTGAGAGCAGTGCCGAATCGGGTGCGGGTGCGCCATGCGGACTATGCCGTTGGGGCTTTCGGTGAAGCTCCTTTTGGGGCCACGAAACGTGTGAAGGGTGTGCCGAATCGGATGCGGATACGCTATGCGGACTGTGCCGCTGGGGCCTTCGATTGAGCTCCGTATGGGGTCTCGAGTCGTGTGAGGGGTGCGCCGAATCGGGCGCGGGTACGCCATGCAGATTGAGCCTTTGGGGCCTTGGGTGGCGCTCCCTCTGCGGCCACGGAACGTGGAGGTAGTGTGCCGAATCGGGTGCGGGTACGCCATGCGGACTGTGCCACTGGGGCGTTCGGTGTCTTGCCCTATGGTCCCACGAAACGTGTGAGGGGTGTGCCGAAATGGGTGCGGGTACGCCATGCGGATTGTGCCGCTGGAGCCTTGTCGGAGGAGCTGCCTATGGGGCCCCGAAACGTGTGAAAGATGTGCCGAATCGGGTGCGGGTGCGCCATGCGGACTGTGCCATTGGGGCCTTCGGTGGAGCTCCCTCTGGGGCCAGGAAACGTGTGAGTCGCGTGCCGAACTGGGCGGGGGGCAGATGCAGGGATAGGGGAGGAATGGGGGGAAGGGGAGGGAAAGGAGGAGGAGGACGAGAAGGAAGAGGAGGAGTGAGAGGAGGATTGAGTCAGGAGGAAGGAACGCGGGGCGCTGTCTCTTTAGAACGAGGACCCAACACCACAGGATGGTTGGGAAACGCAAGGCGCTCTGGTGGGGGAGGACGGCCCAAGCGGCATCCCAAGAGGGACATACATTGATACCATTAGGAGTAGGTAGCGGAGAGGAGGCAGTTTTGAACTTGTATATAGTGGTGTGGATATATATATATATATGTACATCTAGGTATGTACGTGCGTATGTGTATATATACACATACATATATGGTCGCCCCCAAAAGATCCTACAGTCTCTTCTCTAGTACCGCCATCGCCGATCGATCTCTCCTCCCCCCTCCCCCTCCTCCTCCCCCTCCTGAAGGAAACCCTGTGTACTTGTGGTTTTGTGTTTGTTCTTTGGTTCTGCAGGCCCGAATGCTCGCGCTGGCCTCCCTCTCAGCACCCTTCCATGCGCCTCAGACCAAGAACACCAACCATACACAATGTGTTGCGCCCTCTATGCAAGGACACCCTGGGTTTTGTTTTTTTGGGGGGGGGTCTGAGAAGCAAGGAAGCACTGCGTAGTTTTGTTTTAAGGTTTTTTAGTTTTGCAAGCCCCACGGGTGCTGGGAGGAAGGCCAGTGCGAGCGTCGGGGCTTGAAACACCAAAAAACGAAAACAACTCAACTACACAAGGTGTCCTTGCTTCTCGGACCGCCCCCCCACAAAAAAAGAAAGGTTTCCTTGCACCGAGGGCGCCACACCCTGTGTATATTACTTCCCTCCTTTTCCTATTTTCCTTTCCTCCTCCTGGTTGCAAAGCAAGAGAACCAGGAATCCACAGTGTTTGGTGCCCTTGGTGCAAGGAAGCGCTGTGTATGTTTGGTTGTTCTTGTTGTTTGGGTCTAGGATTGTGTTCCCCGCGGCCTCCCCCCCAAGCACCTCCTCCTTCTCCCTCTTCCTCTTTCCCCCTCCTTCTTCTCCTTTCCTCTCCTTCCCCTTGTTGCACAGCAAGAGAACCACACATACACAGTGTTTGGCGCCCTTGGTGCCAGGAAACGCTGTGTATTGTTTTGTTGTTCGGGGTGTTTCGGTCTAGGGTGCAAGGGAACATTGTGTATGTCTATATGGTTTGGTTCTTTGGGTTTTGGAGCCCCGGAAAAGAAGGAGGAGGAGGAGGTGCTGGGGGGAGGCAGCGGGGAGCACTTGAGCTTCCAAAACCAAGCAACAACAAACTTACCAACACTATACCGCGTTTCCTTGCATCCTAGGCAAAACAAAACAGGAGAACCAAAAACACACACAGCGTTTCCTTGCACCAAGGGCGCCAAACACTGTATATTCTTCGTTTTCTTGCTTTGCAGCAAGGAGAAGGAAAAGAAAGGAGGAGAAGGAGGGGGAAAGGGGGAGAAGGAGGAGGCGCTGGGGCGGGGGGGGAGGCCGCGGGGAGCACTTGAGCTTCCCAAACAAAAAAAAGCAGCCAAACAACAAATACACAGTGTTCCCTTGCATCCTATACCACCAACCATACACAGCGTTTCCTTGCTCCGAGGGCGCCAAACACTGTGTATGTTTGGCTTTCGTGCTTGGCAGCAAGGAGGAGGAAAGGAAAGGAGGAGAAGGAGGAGGAAAGAGGAAGGGGGAGAAGGAGGAGGTGCCGGGGGGGGGGGGCAGGCCGCGGGGAGCACTTGAGCTTCCCAAACCAAAAAACAATACACATAACTAGACATACACAGTGGTTCCTTGCATCCTAGACCAAAATTACCAGAAACACCAAACACACACAGCGTGTCCTTGCTCCGAGGGCGCCAAATTCGAATCACCATATGAAAGTATATGGTAAGGGAGGGATGCGGACGAACAGTGGGAAGCAGATGAGGGGGGGATGGAAGAAGAGAAGGAGAAGATAAATAAGAGGATGATGAACGTGAATACGATTCAAGATAAGATGTATGATCTTTGGGGGCAACCACATACATACATATATATATATATATATATGTATGTGTGTGTATGTGTGTGTGTGTGTTTGAGTCGGTTTCGGTACGTGTCTGTGGCCACGGGCCAAACACAAACCAGCGACGTCCGTCGCAATGATATTCGACATCCCTTTTTGAACACACATGCGCATGATGCACATTCTACGATCAGACCATCTATGTATAGAATGGCCTTCGGCCCATCCCGCTACTGTGCCTTGGTTGTAGGTCAGAGGCCTCCTGGATGCATGATGGGATACCTCTGGGAGTTCTCTCGGGAGACTTCTGGGGGCGGTGTTGGGGGTGTCGTTTGGGCCTTTTCGTCGGCCTCCTGGAGACACTGG